GCAGGTATGATTTACGAGAAAACTTGACTTCTTACAAAAATTTTACGAGGCGGTTTTGTATAGCGCATGTGGCGTAATAAAAACGATAAAATCTCTTAACATTTTATATTCAAGTTATACCGATTATTAATAGTTTTATTAATGATGAGATTATAATATTTATAATAGAAATTTATTGGTGTGATAATGCCCTTAAATAAACTTTATGGCCGTAATATAAATTTATTTTATGCTTTCATATGAAAAAATCCTTATACTCTAAACCAAACTTTAATTACTTTCGATGAATAGAGACGATAAAAATTTAAAACAGACTATAATGGTTTGTAAATATACATGTTTGAAACCGTTGATGAGCACCAAATTTTCTACTGGAATATAAACACTAATCTCGGTGTATAGTATTATAAACAGATTCAGATGGCGATGTTTACAATTTACAGGTTTAAGTATTCTAGTTTGTATATACAGGGGCTTTAAGTGTTTATGCGATGGTAATAGACATGCATTTATATGTGCAGTGGCACGTTTGCTCAGTTGGTAGATTTAGTAGAGACAGTGGCGGCGACCCCATCATTTTATCACTTATTAAAGCACCTTAAAATTTAACCGTATACAACGCAATCAGATCACAAAATTCAGATTTATGAAAATAATTGTTTTGGTACTAGGTTTTCCTTTCTTTTACTTTTTTAAGGGGAAATAGTTATGCAAAGAAATACTGGTAAAAATCAATTTATGTTTCCATTTTAACTATTTTTTTTAGAACAGCTAACTACAAGCTAATATTTTTTTTAACAGAACAAAAATACACAAGATCCTTCATCTAAGAAACCGTAAGCTTTGGTTCCATATTTTCACCGAGCTGTTAAATTACTTTATGAATTAAGTATCAATAGAAGGTGCAGCAAAATGTCTCTAATGAGAGTAATTACTATTTTTTTTCTCAGGGAAATAATAGACGAAATAACCCTACACACTAAACATCCGTGTACAGGTCATCACGCGAAAATATTATATTCTGCCACAACTGTTTGAACAAGAAATTCATTAAATATTTACGTAGAATTTGTTTATTTTATAAAAAAGCAATATTTGTTCAAGATTTTCAGTGGTATTATGTTTGGGTGATCTCTGTCCAACTAGATCCAGGTGATATCCTAGCTTGGTTTGAAGTTATACACAAAAGTATCAATTAAAAAAGCTTTGGAAAAACTTCAGGCTTTTTGCAGAAGATAAGTATCGAAATTTTGTAGACTCGGCAAAGTTGTGTTTTAAATGGACCCCCTTCTCCTTCAACGATAAGTTTTATGAACACACTTAAGGAACATCTATGTGTATGTATAGTATTCGAGAAGAAAGTTCTGGAGTCATCAACTCTAGCACCAGAAATATTCCTGAAAACATGAATAAAATAGATCCAGATATTATAAAGATGCAACAAAATAAAACCATGTCGTTGTTAGATGATTTTGGGGACCGCCTAGCCAGGTGTCTTGCCGGTGGATTTCGATCTGCCGAGGTAAGCATCACGGACGCAGGCTGGAATTTGGATGGGTGACCTATGGCAGGCTCGGGGACGTGGCTGTGGCAGCCTACCAGAGACCTGGGTCGTTCAACATTTTCCGCATGCGTGTGGTCCCCGATACATTGTAATGAGAACAGAGCAAAGAAAATCTCTGTAACTCAAGACTTCTTTTGAAGAAAGTGATATATCTTTCGAAATGTGTTAAGCCTAAAACGACGACAATTCTTGTCCATTTAGTGGACGCCAATGTTCAAAAGCTTAAGCCGCCACTGTTTATTTATTTATCGAAACATTTTTATAAACCTCTATGAGGAGTTTCGATACAGAGATTAATGACTAAATATAACACGATCTAACTTTTATAAAAAAAAATCTGCACACTTTAAATTTGTATCACGCTGCTATTCCTTTCAAATCCCGCCCTGATAGATGATGTTTGCTCTCAAAATTTATCAAATAATATTTTTCCTATTAGATTTACAGTTAATACGTGATTTTCAAACCTCCATCTGCTGAATATCCGAGATGTCTTAACTAATGGCCTAAAGTATATTTATTTTCAAAGTTTAGTACCACGGATTGACCATTAAAAATTAGATTACAGTGGAGGCAGGACATAAATTCAAAGAGCGTAACAAATAACGTATATCGGGACCAAGATACACAGAGAAAATAAACTGTTAGGCAATGTGTATATATCTGTTAACGATATAAATGGTTTGATCTAAGATAGACAACACAGTAACCGAACCTGGAGATTATTTATTCAAGCTTCCATTTATTAGGATAGCTTTAAATGAGATTATTTCTGGTACCGGAATTAACGTTATATGTGTGTTAATTGCCCCCGGTTGAGCGAGAGGACCGACTATATATCAAAAGTGGGAAACAGAAGTGTACACAATAGTTTCAATACTCGCAGTGGTATAACCAGAGGCATTTCACGTTATTCCATGTTTTGGTTTATTAGTGGTATTTTCGGAGGTAAATTAGTGACTGCAAAATATTACAATAAAAACAGCAAAAGAACTCAAGTGCGTAGATGTAGACTCAAAAATCGCTCAATTTAGCCAAAGAAGAGATTATGGTTAATCTTTGTTTCTAGAGTATCTTACTGGTCGGTTATGCATAAATACGTCGGAAAAGATATGTCAGATATTTTGTAGAGGAAAATTAATTTTGGACTATGATTGAGCAATTTTTGGGTTCGTTTTCACCCTAAATATAGATTTTAGGAGATACTAGCCAGTCATCAATAGTGGATGATTTTGCGGTCTTTTTACTACTGTCTCAATTGGAACCTCCTTTTCAGCCCATAAAATTTTTTGATTCGATTATTTGGTTATCTATGCACAAATTACCATTTGGATTTTTTTAAGGATGAATTTCTATAAAAGCTTGAAGCACAAATATACCAATTTTTGCAGTATTGTTGTACAATGTGTTTTTCATAATTCAAAATAGTTTTTTAGATAGTCATTCATATTTCTAAAGAACGAACATAGTATTTGAATATTTTTGGAATAATTATAATTGTTATACATTGTCTACGCGTTATTTGAGCAACGATAGCGTAAGTTTAAACTCAACTGAACATTTACAAGAATTAGCACATTTACACACGCACAGATAAGAATTTGTTGAAATTTTATTTTGTAGTAAGTTCCTGACAGTATTTTTCTAATATTTGTACAAGGGAAAAGCTACTTCTTATGTAGGAATATTTGAAAGTATTATTGAATATTCACAGTTATTGTTACACAAATACAACATTTATTTAAATTGATGATTTGCCTCACTTTTAGCTGTAAGATTATATTCATATATTTTATACATGGTATTCCAGAAAGCAATGACCATACAGCAACTATAGATGTCTGAAGTCCGAACAGTTGAGTTAAGTTACCTTCTTCCAAAATTACGTCGTTAATTAATATATGCGCATCAAATAATATATCTAATTTCATTTGGTACACGCGTTAAGTGAATAGGAAGCTGTAAACAGTGGCGTACGTGACTCTCCTATTTTAAGAGTATTTTCCCTACCAAAGGATCTTTAAGGAAAAAATTTTTCTTGTTAATTTTTATTAAAATTGGCAGGCTTTTAGAATTGGCAGAATAGAAAACAGAACGTTCAGTTTCGTTCTAAAAAAGATCATTTCGAAAATTTATTATGACAAGAACATTTAATATCATTACATAAGTTAATTCAAAAACAGCATCTGGAAAGATTGATAGAAATAAAATTTACCTATCATTCCAAATTTACATAACCGATTCATTTTCTTATAGGAACAATAAAAGTTCGTATAAATATAATTGCTAAAAGTCTTTAGTTTCTATTAGTCCAGTCATTCTACGGAAAAACGTGAAAATATTGATAGCAGCAATCTAACGACGGGATCTTGTAGGGGGAGGGGGGATAGTTAATGAAAAATACATAAATTAGTACCACCAATTTTGCCCCCACTCCGAATAAACAATGGTCAAAGTAGTCAAATGAGGTTTTTCTCAAATATAATTTTTCAGAGGCAAGTTAGAGAAAAGTCTTCAAATGAAAGTTGTAGGCATTAAAAAACCTACAATAGGCGAATTTTAATCTACTAAAAATGATGGTATTATAATCCTTTATATATGGCCACAAATTGGGCCTGATCGGTGCAATAGTTTATGAATAATTGCATTTGCTTATCCCAAACACGCCTATGACCATTATTGCAAAAGCTATTAACAATTAAAAAACACTGCAAAAATGCATGTTTTTTGCAATTGTCTCGATAAATAATCCACCGATTTTAATGTACAAAAAAGAAATTGTAGGTATTTTTATTACCTACAACTTTTATATGAAGACTTTTTCTCTATCTTGTTTCTGAAAAATTATATTTGAGAAAAACCTCATTTTGACTATTTTGACCATTGTTTATTCGGAGTGGGGGCAAAATTGGCTGTACTAATTTATATATTTTTCATTAACTATCCCCCCCCCCACCATAACAAGATCCCAACACCAGATTGCTGCTATCAATTTCTTCTTGAAATCGCTCTTTTTACCGTAGAATGACTGTCCTATATGATGAGCAGTTAATTATCATCTATTCTATTTTTTCGGAGCAGCAAATTTATTCTTCTCTTTATTCCTCGGCATCTATCCATTTTAAAAAAAATTGGAAGAGAAAGTTACGTATCGCCCAGAATGAGTCTGTTGAAATGGTCGAAGGTTAATTTTATTGTTCTTCATGTCTTTATAACATGTGTTAAATTTGAATAAAGTGAATAAAGTACCTTAATACGGTTCCCAGATGTTAATGAAAAACCATTCACTATTAACGAACGATTTTTGGAGTAAGTTAATCTAAAATTCAACTGCGTTTACTTTAAAATTGCTTTGTGACCACTGCTTCTGGAAGACCCAAGTCTAAATTCAGCATTTGAATAGTTAACCGAATATTAATCATAAAATATCTGTTAGGTGTCAGAATACCAGTCTCCAACACATCCTCATCACCACCTCCAAACCTACAAATCGGCACTAACCACAACAAGCGGAAGAGATCATGGTCTAGAGCAGTTTTCAGCAACTTGCAAAGGAAAGGTCTCGAAAGGAGATTCCAGATACAAAAGTACATCACCAAGCCTGACAGGCGACAGTTAGCAGCAACGTTGGGACTCACCGATGCCCAGGTCAAAGTGTGGTTCCAGAACAGGCGTATGAAGTGGAGGCATTCGAAGGAAAGTATCAAGAATGGAGAAAACAATGCAGATTCGACGCAGGATCAGGATTTGCACATAGACGTCGATACTCTGACGGATGAGGCTGACTGAATCTTTTTGGTTGACTCATCCGTTGTTATAACTAGATATATCTGTATTTTTTGTAAATAAAAGTTGGTAAAGTAACTCAAACAATTGAAATCATTTAGTATGATGTTCTTATAGATGACTTGAAGATTTAAACGTAAAAATTGAGAATATTTAATAGGGCAAAGCAAAATGTAGTTTCATAAATTATCAAATTATTTGTAGACAATGGTTTCATAATAATATGTTGTTACTCTCAGTCTGTTGGTCGATATTAACTGCACATAATCGTCTCCAAAATTCAGAATAGGTCAAGGTGAGAAAATAAGTGCCAATCTAACATTCTTAAAGGACGATAAAAGTATTGTTGACTTGGCTTATGTGCCTGGTCGTTGTCAGTTACATTACACTTCCTTAGCCTTAGCCAGGATTCTTCGACTTGCCCTCGTTGTTCTCGGGTTAGGTTCTGTGAGGGCGAATCCGTTATCATAACCCCCAAGCTCGCCCTGATGTTCATTTCGGTTCTTGTGTTTGTCGCTACGGACGAGACCACTCTTCAGACAATGTCTAGAGGATCATCGTTAGCTGAGGAGCGGTTCCATTCGTAGCGGCTTTATATCCAACAACAAGAACCGAAATTAACATCAGGGTGAGTGTAGAGATTCTGATAGTTAGTTCGCAGAGCTCGAGAACAACTATGGCAAGTCAAAGATTCCGAACTAAAGCTGAGAAAGTGCAATGGAAGTCCGTAATTGGCGGCGACGAGGTACATAACCCACGGCAACCCGTAAAATTATCGCATTTTAATTTTTTTTTTATATTTATTGCACTTATTTATTGCCTTTGACCTGTACTGAATTGCAGAGACGACTGTGTACAGTTAATACCGATAAACAAACTGTGACACATTTCGTGAAACCATTTTCTACAAATAACCAAAACTGTTAGTTTTATATGCTATGTTTTTATTAAACTTAGCTCTCATTATCTACATTACCAATAATTTATTTCAAAACGTAATTAAAAGTGGAATTTGCAAATGGGTTTTAAAAGTTACTCGATATATGTAGTTTTAAATGTAAGCAAACTTTTTAGCTGCTCTTTTCTATTTTTTAAAATTATCTTCCCAAGAAAATGTTATACAACCAGTTATACTTCCGCACTTTGTCCAGACATTTATAAGGTTGTCTCAACTTGACTACGTCAAACTAAGCTCATATAGACAAAGGTTGCGAAGTTCTCCTCCTTAAAAAAAAAAAGATTTTTGAGTTTTGAGTTGTTACACAAATCTATCAACTAGTGGTGATGCTGGAAGATATTGTCATTAAGAATCCTAGAATTTCGACGCCACAGGATATTTTGGAAATTGCATAAGTGCATTTCAGTTAATGTTTTATTCGAAAAATAAGCCATTTTTCAGTAATTTTTTAAAGTTAAACATAACCAAAATTAGTTCTGGAATCTATTAGACGTTTGACTAAAACAAATTTATAGAATTTTTTATTACAAATTAAATTTCAAATACATTGTTAATTACTAAACGTCCAAAAAGGTAATTGGAGCATGAACTGAGGGATAAAAATATTTAAAATTGCTATGCCAATGAATTTTTTAGCTTCTGATGGTTATATTGTATTAACATTTTTATTGTGAAACGAATAGTTTTGTAATTTTCGATTTATTCAACCATGTCGAAAATTTATTACAAATTTAAAAATTGTGTTTTTTAGAAACATCAACCGGAATTAAATGCACTTTGCTAATTTCTAAAATATTCACTGGCAACGAAATTCTGGAATTCTTAGTGATGATGCTCTTCCATCGTCTCCACCATGTAACAAATTAAAGACCAGGAAATTTGCTACAAAATAGATGTTAACCATTTTTTTCATAGAACCGACCAGTTTTGGATAAGAGACTAACAAAGGTCACCAATTAATGTGGAGTGAAACGTAATACCTATTTTCACACCACCATGCGGTATGGTTTCCCCAGTAGTGAAATTACAATAACTTCTTTCGCTTTGATACCTCTAAGGAACCAGTTTTATCGATGTTTTTGTTAGCTGAAGGCAACGAAGTCTCAGAATCGTGTGGAATCAATTCTTCTGGCGCAGTAGCTTTTCTCTACTTTCTGTATCGATTTCATTACACAGTCGTTCTAAGACCGTATCAGTGTCTTCATTGTCATCACTATCTTCCAATGCTTGAGGCATGTTACCACATCTATTGTCACACTTTGAGCAAATTATAGAACAGTTGAGCCCTGCTTTCCTACATCCACTTGCTCCCCGACAGCCTTTCTTACATTTACAAGAAATTTGTACTTCTGGAGCAGGTGCTTGGAGTGTAGTCAGAGGGACGAGACCATTTTTGTCTTTCTTCCATCTTCATTGATCTGCATGTTTTTCGTTACCAATCCATTGATGTACCTGATGATACCAATGAATGTTGTCTTGCTGCTGCTTCTGTAGGAGGCAATGAAGTGAGGTTAAATTTATTCCTGTATGCGGATTTTATGAAGCATTGGTGCCTATAAGTGTTCACAGGTGTAAATTCCGTTTTATTATAGCCGTGAAGTCTGAGAAGAAGGTATTCTTCAGCTTTAGCTACACTGTATTTGTCAGCATTTTTTTCTTTAAATACTTTTATAATTTCCTGAAGATTAGGGTTTTCTTACAACATATTAAGTCAATGGCCAACTGTTGCATCCCAGCGGTAGGTTTAACACATTAAATATGTATTGTTTTACAAGTTACGTACTTGGTAAACTTTGGAATTCTCGTACGTGAAAACGGTTAGTTTTATGAAAGAAATGATAAGAAACCCATTTTGTAGAGAAAATTGTGTCGCTTAATTTATTACAGAATCATTTTTGTTGTAAAATCAACTAGAAATAAGATATACAGGTTCGGAAAGTCCCCATGGTACATCAGCCGTTACGTGAGAGCGATAAAGTAAGTCATAGAAATCCGTGCGATAGAGAAGGATGGCTATAATGAAGGCGTCTCATAGTCGCCGCCCGTTTCGCCCTTCCACAAATAAGATCCGCTTCCACTTGTAATTCAGCGACCGGTGGTCATCTTTGTTTTCGTCGTTTGCCTTTTCTGTAATAGATGTCACTACTTATACAATTCCGGCTCCGGTATTCCGATATGTTAATACAATCCGTTAACAGGTAAATTCACGTGATTACTGGACTACCATGATATTTAAATAAATGGGATACTCTGTATCCCGATTGGACAAGAGTATCTAATTGTTGACATTGCCAACATTTTAAGACAGGTTAGGCCGTCAAAGTAAGGACTGTGATGTATCTGATAGCGTAGCTTATAAAACCAATGGTTCTATCACCAGGTAAAATTTCGACTGAAATAGCCTGTATATATAGCACCAATTGATTCTCATTGTTTTTGTTTTTTTTTGTGGGAGTTTCAATTTATACTTCAGTCGCAGATAACAAAAATTTAAAATTAAATAAGATTAGGTACTAACTTAAAAACCATTAGAATTAACAAATAATATATTAGATAAAAGTTGCTTGTTTTTGACAAGATAAATACGTGATTAAAATGTTGGTACTTATTTTTGGGGCACGGGTCTTATCAAATGTATTTCAGGATCGATCAAAAGTTTTTCAGAAAATAGTCAGGTTAAATTAACCTGATTATGAATTTTAATTAACATTTTTTGAATTACAAGTAGCTTTTCGAAATAAAATTAATTTTTCCTAAAACTCATCTGAAAAGCTGCTCACCATTTTCCAGGCGTCAATGCGAACTAAATTGATACAAACTTGGTTTCACAATAAACTTTTATTATAAATAACGAAAGTTTTATAAATAAATAAATAATATATTTATAACATATATAACGAAAATATCATATATATGTAAAATATATGTATCGATTTAAAAATAAATATTTAAATAGGCAACTTAATAATAACTTTCATACAACACATAAAATCAGATCATCGCACCGCATGCATAAAATCCATTCATTCGAATTCTCTCACCCAAAATAAATTGTTTATTAACTAAAGTGTTGAAAACCGCTTCCTTTATAGTTATTTTGACCAGTCGATTGAATTCTTGTAAAGTCGTTTGAACTATCTAATTACAAGTAATATTTGAAAATAAATACTATAAATAAAATATCCTTTCTCATATACATGTGTGCAAAATATAAATACTTAATCGTCTATTGTAGCCGTTAAATTTGTTGACAATACTGATGCATGATAGAGTAGCCACATGTATATGAAATCAGAATAAATCGCGAAATATGTTTCTAATTCCATTATTTCTTGAACAATTTCTATAGTTTTAGTTCTACAGGATCACCTGCGTATACGTTTATTTAATTTTAGTTATTTCGGTAATGCCAATGATGGATTTGAAAAAATGGAATGTAGAAATAAATTCGATTTGTAAACAACCTAATATTAATTTCATGTCTTCTTAAACCTCGTTACATTCCAAGTACGCCTGTTGGCAGTTGTCACCGGACCTTCCACGTCTTCCCGCCTCGTACAGGACATCGAAGGACGATGAGGTTGTTCTTTCAAGGATAAAGCTAGCTGCGTAGCTATAAATTAAAAAGATATTAAAGTAACGATTCCTAAATTACGAAGCATATCCACAAAGTGATTTTTTAAAAATCGAAACGGCAGTATGTATTTACTCGATTACACCCCTTATCTAACAACTGACGGGATTCGGAATAGAGGTTCAACACGCCACTACAGCAACAGCTCCCAACATCTTGTCCTTGTCGAAAACAAAAACAACAGGGCACCAGAGTCTCAGTACTCTTACTTTGTGGACATGCCTCGTAGATTTAGACTATTTCGAGCAATGAGTGTTTTAGTAACGCAAATTTGTGGAAACAATTTTTGACTAGATAAACTGGGTATTCTTCCATACAAAAATGTATATAATTTTTTTTTCTATAAATACTTTTTAAATACTATATGATCATAAAGAAATTTAAAAATTCGGTTAATGAATGTCTATACCTTCCAAGATGACAGTAGAGCGAGGTTTGGCCGATGTCAGTTGTACATTCGTTGTTGGCTTGACACATGAACTTCTGCATACATTTGCTGTTATCTGTACTGAGAGACCTCATGTAACCTTTGGCCATGGCGATGCCGGCAACAGTTGCGTCGCTTACGGTGTCCTTCTTTCCTATGTTACGAGCAGCAAGGGATCGGTGGGAGAATGAAGTCTTCAGAGCGTCGAGAAGATTTACTATGATGCTGATGAACTATATAAGAAATAATGTAAGTATTTGATAATGTTATATCATGTTGGTATTCATGTACAGAGAACCCAGAGATATGAGCAAGGAAGCACTTTTTGAATTTCAGAGATATTTTGAAAAAAAGCAAAAGTTGCATTTTCGATTTAACGAATTTTGATACCTGTAGAAACGATAAGTATGGTTAGCTTTTTTGCGAAGAATTTCGATTATATTTCGATTATGAAAAACCATCAGCAGCTGTTTTTCTCGTGGAAGCTATCTTAATTTTACGCAGAATGCCGAAAAAACAATAAATATTATAATATTCTTAACAAACCTTCAAACACCTGAATTTTTTTTAAATAGAAGAATTATCTCAATTAGATAGGTACTTAATATTCAATGAAATAATTTTTATTAGATTAACATTAAATTAGATATACATTAACAAATAAAATAATTAACGATACTTTGTGACCGGTATATGTCTGGTGGTTCTGCTGACGAATGATCTTAGCTGTCTGCCCGATATCATTGGTCAGAAGGACTAACATCTCCTAAAACTTCGAACAATGTCAACAATTATACGGATCTTCTTGCTAGATATTGTGCTGTACACTGCGAAGTAGTGCTGGCAACTGAAATCGGTTTTTTGGATAGTCGGTTAACCGGTTTCGGATAATTCGGATTTTTATGAACCCCGAAAACTGGTTATTCGATTCTTCAAATATCCGATTATTCAAATAACCAATTATTCAAATAACCGATTATTTGATAATCTATTCAAACATCCGAATAATCGGATTCTTTCTTTATAGCCAATAACTACATAGAACCATTTTTATATTTTATGCTGGGACTCAGACACAGACTGATAAAAAAACACCCACACCCACATACACCAAACGACCAAATCCATTTATATAAATAATAAATTGAAGAATCACAGTAACAAGTGCAACTGTTTTAACTGTTTTAACATCTTAACTTTTAGCATTAGATTTAACTTTAAAATTTAAAATATGTGAATATGTGAATAACATCGTATATCTCGTCAGTTTTACAAAGCACTGATTTTCAGATATCCGGTTTTGGCCATTATTCGAATAACTGGTTATTCGAATAATCGGTTTTAGAATATCCGGTTTTAGCAACTATTCGACTAACCGGTTTTATCTGAAATCGGTTTTTACGAAACCTGGTTAACCGGTTTCACTTTTTTCCGGTTTTTGCTAGCACTACTGCGAAGCATTTGTTCGTTAGAATATAAGTTACTAAAACTTTCTTTCGGCCACTGCGATACTGGTCTTGTTAACAGTCTAGTACTTTTTTTTCTCAAAACTGTAAAACAATAAGGTATCGAAAGCGAAGTTTGATAAAATAAATACACAATGAATTTTTTTGCGAAAAATGCTAGAAAAATGTTTGTACAGATTTCAAAAATTATTAAAAATAAGAAACATACAGTAGATGTTCAAAAATGCAACAATATTTATTTCGGAATATCTCGAAGATCAAAAACCTAGAGCTCTTTTTCTATCATTTTTGGTTTCTAAGATCCTAATACGTGCAACACAAATGGAGCCATGGATCAACAAATAATAATATCAATCTTTAGAGGAATAGCGTTGAATAATTATAGATCAGTAATACTTTAACTAGGTACTACTACTAAAATAAATAATTACAAATATTCGAAATGGAAAAGAAAATAAGATACTAAAGATGAAAATTTATAGCACTTCATTTGTATAGTCTTTCCGATCTCAATTGAAGAACCAAGAGGTTGGCAGCAACTCGGCATTGAAATATTTGAAAAACTTGTTCCCATATTTATTTAGCCATAGGTACCCATATACAAGTGTGGTCGACCAGATGATGAATGAACGCGCAGGCAAACGTGACACAAACACAGCCGCATTCGGCAACCTGGCTATAAATTCAGTTGTCAACAAATGGCCTAGCAGTGCAGTGTAGCAATGTGGAATCGTTCATATTACAATTGCGAAAGAGAGAAATAAGAGGGATATTTTGTTTACTAATATTATTGCAACATTGTATTTTGGAAACGTTTTAAACTGGAACAAAACGAAACGTACCATCAATATAACAAAATTGTTTGAGGACATAAAGAATTAAAACCAAATGTACATATAATAGAAATTTTCTACACAGTATGCAGAGTGATTCACAAATGGTGACCAAAAATGAAACCTCGTATCCTTTGGTGAATTTGTAAATCACCCTGTATACAAATTATTATAATTTTTTACCTTTAGCAGAAAACTTTTTTCAGAGACGACTATGAAACTCATTGAATTTTATTGCTAGGCGTTTTTATACATGTTCAATTGACTTCGGAAAGACTATACCATATACAATTGTTTCAAAATATTTAGTGCAGGTTCATTATTCATTTAATTTATGTTGCTAGAGTAATATCTATGTAGGTTTAACGAATAAGATGTTCTCGGAGATACCAAATAAAAACAAAGGTTAAAAAAATATCAGCACACTTAAATAAGTATATATAAAACTAAACAATTCCGGTATTAATTAGATATTAATTAAAGTGAATACAACAATATATTATTAAAATACAAAATTATAATAGGTACAGTGAGAAGGCTGGCGAAGTTTCTTTATAAAATTGTGGGAGACTTTAATGCTTGCATAAAAAGATAACCTTATTTGGCCTTTCTCAGGGACTTGTACATTTCTAAATAACTGTTTATTTCCGCTTTTTTTTCATGTCAAACATATGCGAAGTTTGATGACATTTTAATTGTGATAGGAAAATTGTAGTAAATTTTGTAGATTAATTACTTTACAAAAATTTAGTTTTTATCTGATAGGTAGGTACTTGGTAGGTACTTATGAAGGTAAAGTAAAAAGTTTGAATACAGCAATGAAACTCTTCGAAACACATGCAAATACATAGTACAGAGCTACAGCATATCTATCAATTGACCTAGTTGATATCTCCATTACGGGCAAAACTTTCTTTTAATTGACATTAAAAGTGGAAAATAAAAAGAACATGAGTAAGTTTCTCTAAAGATTTCCATTTTTTTATACAGAAACTACTTTTGACACTAGCATCTGTGTATGCTAAATAGTAACTCTAAAAACTAGCTATTAATAGCTAATGATATTTTTGGGAGTAACTACTCTGCTGACTAGAGCCCCGATCAGCATTGTATTACACCCGCAATATCTAGATATCTGTATACTCAAGATGTTCATTATTGACAATACCTAATAATAGAAAAAAAATCTAAGGTTATTTTTATTTTAGTAAATTCTCGTATTATCAGCGTTAGTACTAAATAAGCCTAAATTAGGGTTATTTACACTTCCTTGACACAAATATTTATCGATATCTGCTACATACCTCACCAGCCTGTTTAGCCAACATGTTTACTTGTTCAGGATTTCTTCCTCCCACAACTGCTCCCAGTACAGCTGCCAGTATACCCTGTGCAATGTAAGCAACTACTACAGGTGTTTTATTGTTATGTACAGGAAATTATGTAAATGTCAATACTAAAAGCAGAAGCTGTGGCATTATATTACAGAAATGTAAAAGAGTAACGTGTTGTAGACAATCAATTTAGGTAAATTATTTTTAGTGATTTTTTTAAATGTACCTGCATGGGGGATCCACCGTTGTCGACTTTGTCAATGCCATCGTTGTTAGCCGCTCCACCTCCTAGGATGGCCGTGAGGATTTTGAGTCCTACGGAGATGAGGTTTGCCCAAGGGGATGTTGCGATTGGGCCGTCATCGAGGCCTTCGGACTTGTTTGGGCCTTGGTTGATGCCACCCGGGTTGAAAATCATTTGCATCACCATCCCTACACAAAAACGTTGTAAGATTGGATACTGTAATAGAAATTTTAAGTGACGATTTGAGTTTACGATGTCAGAGCTTATCTTTGACAAAATAATTTGATTGGAAATTTCATTGGATACTTTTAAATGGAAAATCCCTTTAAAATACCTAAAAGATTCGACCAAGAGAACCCCCCGCCAGTGCTCTCAGTTAACTGGTTCGTTTGTATATCATCCAAGTCGTCAAGTGCCACTTTCTTCAAGGCGTTCGGTTTTTCCGCGAATTTTCGTTCTTCCCTCTGAGGTTGAAGTTGTGGGTTGTGTACGGGGTAGAAGCCTCCCTCTTGCGGCGAGAATTGTTGATTCGGGTACGAGAGGGTGTCCAGTACGCTACTGCTTAACAAAAGGGCGAAGAGCGCCCATCCTACTGTTTGTCTGTACATTCTGAAAATAAAAAAAATATTTTAGTTTGGAAGTAATTTTTAATAATAGAAGGTTAGACCTAGAATTATATCCTACTATTACAGGTGTCCCAGAATACGTTTTTATTTGTAAATTTATAAGACAATATAATTATAGAATTCCCTGTTTATTTCCGAAACTCTGAAAGCCTCTATTTTGAACAGCTATTATTTGTTTATGGTGCACGACGGTAACCATGACCACCATTGTAAACAGTTTACAGACGTGCAGGCGAGTTTCGAGGAGCCTATGTATTCAGAGTTTTGGAAACGAATTTTGCAAATCGAGTTAAATTGACTGCGCAATACAAATTTAACATTTCCTTTCTAATTATGTAGACAACATTGTAAACTAAATCTTAAATGAATTTTTGTACTATGAAAATTTCTAGGGCTTCCCCCGCACCAGCTCCCACTGCCTGCATATTACTAAAATACTAAAATTGCTTAAAATTCTGTAAAATACGCACACAGAATACACAAGGAAGCACGGTGGACGATGTTGAACTGATTATAATCTTGAAATTCATGTCATAAAGGATTACGTGTCCATTTTTAGAATTTGTAATGACTTTTGCGAAGAATAATAACGTGTCTATTAAATTTAACAACTAGAAAAACTCGAATTTTATAGTTCTGACATAGTCCCATTCAAACGGTGTTAGCTTTGTAAGTATATTGATATTTGTTTATGAGTTCATTGTCCCATTTTCATTTAAAATGATTTTTTCACTTCTAGAAGTACTTAAGAAATATATGTTGAGGTAGGATAGCATAGAATGCCATTCAGCTGATGGCACATGAGTACGTTGTTTCAATTGCCAAAATGTTACAATTCTCATCGGTATAACTTTTACTAAATTTGCCACAATGGAAGACAAATAGAAGACAAAAGGATGAAAGAGGAATACTGTAGAAGTATGAAGATTAGAACAGACGAAAATCATAGACGATATGATAGACCATGAAAAAAAGACTAAAGACAAATTACAATGGTAATGAACATTTAAAACAAATGAATGGCTGCAAATTATAAAGTGATAAAGTACTTAAAAAGACGTAGGTATACTAATACTTAATCAGAAATTACAAGCAAATGATTTTATCTTAAAATCGCATTCATATTGTTAAGTTTATTGGAGAAATATATAAAAAAACTAAGTTAGATCATTGAACGATCATATTTTTTTTAGAATGCAGTGGTGTGAGTTGGCTAAAGGTGCCAATAAATCTGGCCAGTTCGCACTGGAAGTGAATTTGTGGGGCAACAGTCTTAGACCTTGTCACACTTTATTCTGTCCCGTTAATCCAACCCGCAGCAGCATTCTGTATAAAATGTTGGTGATGAACTGTTATTAATTTACCGTTCGCCAATCGATTAATAAACATTGCGCCGCGGAGACCATTCCGAGATTTGTTTACTTGAAAATTATCGCAGCGAATTAGGTGACCCAGATTATTTCAAATTAAGCACGACAAGCCGGTATTTTTACTGCGGTGCGACACTTTACCGTTTTGTTCCGTTTATGATCCTGAATACCTGTTCATTTTTAGAGTAAATTGACTGTTCTTTGCATTGCTTATTAAAGTGAATGGGTAAGACATTTCTAACCACAAATATTTGCTTACCTTTCGAATGAAGTAAATAATTATAGCTAGGCGTTTATTACTGTTTTAGTTAATATTTGTAAATGTTTTCAGTCAGTAGGTTGTTGAAAATATTGGTCACAAAATACTCCTTGTGTACTAAATTCAACAATTTATTCTAAATTGCAAGAAACAGCTGGTGCTACTCCATTGTTACTGTAACATGGTGTTGACAACAAATAATGCTAGATAGATTAAATTCCTACGCTTTGCAGAAGAACACCAGTAATTGTTTGTAATACTTGTTGAAGTTACCTAACTGTATTTAACTAGAAGATGGAATGGATACGTTTTAGATACCAGTTGGATGCAACTTAATAAAAAATATATATAAATAAAGGACCTCGCACAAACCTTATGGAAATGGATCCCCGGTGGATCTTGATCACAAATCCCGGAAACCGCTCCCAACCCCCCAAAATCACCCCCAAAAGTCAGGGCTCATTATACCACACCAAAAGAAAGTATATGGCTATATGGTGGGTAGACCCACACATGCAGTATATGGTTTTCGGTGTAATTTTGAGCGCTGGATACGAATACGTCATCATCTTTCTCATCATTTTTGCTCTAGCACGTATCAGACTTCAGCAAATCGCTGAAGACGCTTCAGAAAATTGAAGATAGAACATTGTGGCCTGTGATTTACTTGCGATATGTGGTTTCCGGTGTATTTTTGCACGCTGAGCACGATTCTGAGGTCAATTACCTTAAGCCTTCAACTAATCGATGAAGAAGCTTCAGTAAACTGAAGAAAGAATACCGTGGTTCTTCAGTGGCGTGTACATATCGCATGTGAATTACATAAGACAATGTCCTTTTTTCAGTTTTTGAAGCTTCTTCATTAGTTGAAGACTTAAGGCAACTAAAGCACATTTGCAAAAATAGACCAGAAACCAGGATATCGCATGTGAATCACAGGCCACAATATTCTTTCTTCAGTTTTCTGCAAGAGCAAAAATGATGACGTATTCGTGCCCAGCGCTCAATAATACACCGGAAACCATATATTGCATGTGTTGGTCTGATACTTTTTTTGGTGGTGTGGTATAATAAGCCCCTGACGTTTGGGGATGATTTTGGGAGGTTGGGAGCGGTTTCCGGGTTTTGTGATCAGGATGCTCTGAAGCGTTCATTCCCAAAATTTGAGAGAGATCCACCGAGGATCCATTTCCATAAGGTTTGTGCGGGATCCTTTAGCTCGTAAATTCTATCTAGTCTATTGAAATTTAATGAACTGACAAAAGGTCTAATGTGATTAAGAATAGTGGCCAATTACATAATCAAGTTAAATTATGTCAGCTCAAATTATATTGACGACATGCCGGTTTCATTTTCCTAAAAAATTATGTCATGTTACTTAAATTTTTGTGATTTTTAAAACGCCGATTTTATTTTAATAAAAAATGAAATCGAAATGACTATAGATACGTATACTATTGTTATTATAAATCTGCCGATTGTATACACTCATACTCAAACTGTTAAAAGTGTAACTGTAATAATTTAAATAATGGACTAATTACCCACTTATAACAAAATGTTAAGCTGAAATATTAACTAAGGATGCATTTAACGGAGATTAATTAAATAGAATACTTCTGGTATAACAGGTCGTTCACTGAATAACGTGATTTTATATATGAAAGCATTGTGATTCAAAATGTTATGGATAATGAGCGAAGATTATAGTGGAAAAATCTCTTTATCCCACACTTATGTATAGAACAGTTTTAATTAGTTCCGCGGAGTTAAAATAATTGTAATTTCTAGTGAATAAATTATTTTTATAATTGTGGTAGGTATATACATTAAAGTTCATATTTCAATTATCTAAACAGATACAGTAGGCTAAGAATTAAAATGAAAAAATATAACATGACAGCATTATCTAGATACTTATACAATTGCAGGCAACAAATACATTGATCATAATTAGTAACTAAAAAAATATAAAATCATAAAATCATAATTTAAAGAACTGACTATAACTGAACATTTAAATAATAAAAATTAATTCCAAAACAATTTTTTATGCATAGACATACCTACTGTAGAAAATTTTAATAGATTTCGTAGTTATTTTTTAAAAATAGGAGAATTCAACATTAAAAATGTAGAAAAATATTGTTGACATTTTAATAAGAGAGCTATATGTACAATTTGTTTAGCAAGCACCTTCGATGTCTTTTTAATAAAATATCAGACTTCCCAGAAAATATACACTACATATACAGATATATTTCGCTCTTTTTTACAATACGCAGTATTTTTGCATTAAACTCATGTAAAATGTAGAACTTCGATTTCTGTAATGTTTTGTTTTATTCAAATGGACAAGTACTTTAAACTTATAAGTACCATCAGTTGGATGACCAGGACATGTTCACTTTCACTTAGAAATCCCAGATTTCATTCTGACAGTACGTTTTTTTTTTCAATGAAAATGTGACTCATATTAAAAACATCTCTAGATGTAAATAAATTGTCATAGTTTCCATTTTGTATGCATTATTTATGGATGTAAAGGAGTCAGTAACCCTAAAATGAGAATGCGACATTTTATTTTATAAAAGGATATTCCGATGAAGATCACATAGTTCCAAAAGAGTTTTAATAAAGCATTAATTTAAACTGACTTAAATTCGTATTAAAAATTAATAGAAGATTTTCCTTTATTCTACGTTGACGTTTCTATTTTAATAAAGTCATCATCAAGATATGAAAAATTTGTCTCTTTGGTGAAATAATAAGTATGTAATTACAATACAAATAATGTTAAATTAGTTATCAGTAATTACAGAACAATTACAAAGAGGGCACAAACTATCAAATAATATGAATTGCTCAAGTCTAGAATATCCTCAAGGTTTATTTTTAAAACACCGAATTGACTATAATGTTAAACAAACGAAAAGATTTTTATTTGAAAAGAAAATAATCTACTGTTCGTTTTAAGATCTTATAAAAAACTTTTTATTTATTTCTTTTATGCACTTATCTTTCTAATTATTGAATGAAATTTATGTAGCTACGTTCACTAACGGAAGTGGTTATTAATTACGATAAGATTAGAATCACCGAAAAGGAAATTATTAATTCATATCCTACTAAAAATTTAGGTATAATTTTCTTCACATATCTAAATTGCTGAAGTAATTATGGAAAAATAGTTCAATAAAAAATATTTTGTTTGCCATTATTAAAAAGATAGATACCTAGTGATAAAATACATGCATATACCTAAATGAAATAATATTGATTAAAATAGTATGTATTTCAGTAAGTTTCCTATTAAATAAAAATTGAAATACCAAATAGGTAATTGAAATCTTGACCTGCCTTTATATAAATGATAAAAATGATTATGTTAACAGAGAAGCTTCAGTTATTATGAAGTTAATAATTTGCCACACTAAAAAAAGAAAGGCAGTTTCCAGAAATATTAGTTTACAAATAAATATGTAACCTACCTATTGAGAGCCACTAACTTTCAGTGTTTAGCAACTTGATATGTTAAATTGACTTCATTAGTGATTACTAAAGATATTTATAAACAAATTTTCAGAATTATAAAATCGTAAAGTTAAATATTTCTTTTATAAATTATATGAGAATATTTTAAACCATTTACCTATAGGCATTTATAACAGAAAAACAGTTTTCGACGAAGAGAGATCTCTATCACTAAAGACAACACATCCGTGAATCTACTTTTCTTTAAAATAGTAATTGTTTGCGAAACATTAATTTTAAATTCTTGTGCACAATGTACAATAAAAATTGCATAAGGGTGACATTTTTTGACAATACATAATTTATGTCATTGTAAAAAATCACGTAGTGTATCTAATCTTTGCGAAGATTCACTCATGTTCTAGAAATTATTTTAGCATTGTTATTCAGTAGAAAGCATACAAAGTAGGGCGCCATGCTTCCGATTAGACGTAATGAAGTAAAATTATAAGTTCGTTAATCAATGACATTTAGAAGACTTTAATATTAAATTAAGTCAAGCAAATTCAAATTAGCTTAATTTGTTGAAATAATTATACTTTAGTTGTCATAAAATCATATTTCTTTTTAAATGGTAGATATACCTTATTAATTGACTATATCGTCATTAAAAGAAGGAAGTAAAGTAACAACGCATCACAACAATATGCCAATATTAAGTGCATCTAGACAAATAAGAAGAATTCTTTTTAGAATTCAAATACAATTTCAAATATCTTATTCCCACTCACTATATTGATGAATATCACCATGAGTATTACTATATCGTATATTGGTGAATATCAACAACAATTCACGCTTCCATGTCATGATTTTTACTAAATATTTTATTACATTAATCAAGACTAAAAGGTCTTTAGGAATATACCAAATATCGACTAAAATTTTAGGTTGAAAATGTTTAAAAACTATATGTATTTATTTTATTAACATGTTTATTTTATGTTTAAAAAACCATTGCAGTTTTAAAGGGGAATTCTCTAACAACTTTTTGCACAAACTAATTGATGTCCTTGTTTCTCTCAAAAACATCAAATAACATCAATAAGCACATTCCATTGTCTCATAACTTCCAATAATTTACAATTTTCTTCATATCCTTGTATTATACTGACCTACTAGCGAGGCATATGACCTAGTTCAAGGATTTTGACATTCTTATCTTCATACTCGCGAAGAATGGTCCGAAATTTTCATGCCACAAGTGTGCCACTTATTTCCTCGTATTGAAACAGGATTTAAAGAAATAAATGTGACATTCCTAAGAAATAATCTTCCAATATATTAAATACATGTTCACACCTAGTGACACATTTACAACTTTCTTTCTAATTTTTTAAATTTTGGAATGTTTTGACTTTTTTTTATCCCAAGTTGATTGAGTGTGGTACCGGACACTTCTTTAAATTTAAGAGCAACTCACCTAAAACCGCCTAAAAAAACACAAACACACAGAACAACAAGTAAGCATGTACTGAAGAAGTAACAACCGCTAATGCTTCTTCCGATGCCTTGAACTTGGTATATATATACGATGACCCACTTACCTGTGGCAATGGCACTATGTTAGCTACAGCAGTACTCAAACTGGATGGATCGCTATAGAAAAGTCACTTTTTTCTTCAACCTCGTTAAGAGAATAACCACAGGGTGTAATCTACCACCTGGGAAACTACTATGACTTTGGAGAGGTCTATGACGCAGTCAAAAATACTTAAAAATTATATTTAAAAGTCATAAGAAACTTGAAAGTATATTAATGATCCGACTTTCATCTGATTAATGTTTCATCATCATCGGTAATTATTGTATTAAAAATGTTTAGTAAGTTTTTTACTATTTTTCTGTCACACTACCACATGAGGAACGAAATTATTTATTTGGATTTATATTATGTCAAAGACTTACATACTTTATTGTTACAGACAGTCTACAAATCTCGATATGCATTCCATCACATTTTGCCATTTTTCTCGAAAACATTGCGTTTTTTAAGTACCTATCAGGAGACAAAATGTTTCTAAATTCAATGGCTTTCTAGCGGACTAATAATTTTTAAGAAATTTTAATATGCAAGCAATTTTTTTTGGCTCCAAAGACAGGGGCGCCCACGAAAAATTGTCTTAAGAGAATTCCTCGCCAAAAAGCGTAGCACTATCAGATTCCACATGTCATAAAACTCCTGTGTACCAAATTTAGTGATTCTCGTACAACAGGGTTCTAAGAAATAAAAAAAGACTATTCTTAGGGGCGGATTTTAGGGGGCTGTAACTCCGAAAGAGGCAAAAATAAAAAAAATACTCCCTAAATTTGTCGTCTGTGACCAAATTTTGTTGCATTAATTTCGGGACTCCCTGTACAGAGGGATTCAAAAATTATGACCAAAAATGAAAACTCGTATTATTTGGTCAATTTTAAGGATAGTCTTTCCTATAAAGTTTTTATCTAGCCTTCGTTAAAAGATACAGGGTGTTAAACTTCAAAAAATATTTTTAATTTTTTTAATTAATTTAAAAACTAGTAAGTGAAATAATTTGAAATTAAGCGCATGTATTTATGTAAACATTGTCCAAAATCTGAGGACTTTTCCTACAATTTACAAGCTTCAGTGGCGGAGATACAGGGTATCGGTGGCATATTTATTTTTCTAAATAAAATAGTACGCTACTGCTTTACCATAACAAGCTTGATATTTTCAGATTCGCCTTTCAATTTTCTACAAATTACTACTCTCTTATGTATTTCGAAAAAAGCCTGATTTTCGAGTTTCTTCACTGTATACCAGTCGTTTAACAGCACTCAAAAAGAAATCCAGTGGGTTGAGGTCCGGTGTGTTTAGTTCGTTTTTTAAGTTTTACTCGAAAATCAGACATTTTTGAAAAACATAAACAGTAGTAATTTGTTGAAAATTGGAAGACGAATCCGAAAATATCATGGTTGTTACCATAAAGCATTGGCGTACTATTTTATTTAGAAAAATATGCCACCGATACCATTAATCTCCGCCACTAAAGCATCTAAATTTTAGAAAAAGGCTTCAGATTTTGGACAATGTTTACATAAATACGTGCGCCCAATTTTAAATAACTTCACTTACTAGTTTTTAAATTACTTAAACAAATAAAAAATATTTTTTGAAGTTTAACGCCCTGTATCTTTTTAACGAAGCGTCCTAGGTAAAAACTTTATAGGAAAGACATCCCTTAAAATTCACCAAAAAATACGAGGTTTTATTTTTGGTCACCATTTGTGAAACACCCTGTATGGAGCTGCAGCAAGGAGTGAACATTAAGATCTTGAGCGATAACGTTAATGAAAAGAGTATAAAAGCAATGGACCAAGCACAGAACCTTGTGGAACACCGGATGTTTTATTAAATAACTCAGATTTGCCCTCTCCTACCCCTCCCAGGAACCTCACGTAGGAGGGGTTCCTTCTTAACCTTATTTTACAGCCGCGATTCTTCACCTGCTGCTTCTGATTAGGTGACCCCGACGGAAATCCCTCTGTCGGAAGGTCCTAGAAGAGGACCCAGCTTACTAATTCAACGAGGAGTCCCCTTGGCAAGAGCTTTCCTGTGTATTAGTTAGTTGGGTTAGTGCGTCAGCCTTCACAATAATAGTTACAGATTGGCGCTATTTACATGAGGTAGGTAACTATGTTGAGAACACATTAGATCTATCCAAATATAGAAGAGAATGCATCGAAAGAAAAATCTAAAACCATACTGTAATTTTCATTTTTCTTAAATTAGGAATACCTATCCAGCTTATATCAAAGGATTTTTATAATTTATTAACTAAAGTTGTTGTTCATGGCAATTTGATATCAATTGCAAGAATCACTTTACAATGTGTCCATTCACCCAGTGAATATTAATTTGCAATTACATAATCTGTTTATTTATGTATCTATCTGAAGAAACCTGAAGAAAATTCTGGCTGAAGGTACAAGCATAATCAGTGCAGTGCAATGTGATTTTTTTAACGCAAACTGATAGAAAATAAATAATAATTATTAACATATTATACCTATATCAAAACTACCAAACTACCCGCCTAATCTTTAAACTGCTGTAAAAGTAAACTGTAGTAGAAGTGGGTGAAGCGACCAATCAATCTAAATGTCACATACGAGCGAGAGATGGCGACATTGAAAAATAACTGGTATTAAATACAAACAGTTTTATCATTAATGTTAATTGAGAAATTATAATGAGAATACAAAATTCGTCATTATCAAATCAAATATTATGTAAAAGTGCTTAAAAATAAATTACAAATATTTACGTACAAATACGATACTCATCTCCCTCTGTCAGGCAAGTCCTGAACTACAGACGGTACCTAGCATGTTGACTAAACTACACGTATTTTTTTAGTATAAACATTATAACTAAAACGTAGTGCAAAAATATTGTTCTTTAAGAATTCACGTTCTGTTTCTTATTTGTTATAAGTCTTAATAATACTGCGATATCAAATTATAGCATATTTAATAAATGAAACAAATTATTTTGAAAATTACAATATATATTCGCACTAAAACATGTCCTTGTAGATTTCTACATACGTATTTTTAATATAAAATCGTAGGTTTTGTGAAGTGAGAGCTATTTAGTTTCATGGAAAAGAAAAAAATAACATTCTGATTAATACATCAGCTTTAATTTAGGCGGTAAGTAGATATATTTACATAAAATATGGTATGTAGAAAATGTAATTGTCTTTGAAATATCTAAAACGGTAATAATAGTAATTATGAAATATTTTTGTTAACCTAAGATTGACATAATGATTTTATTATAGTTCGCATTCTTAAGAGAGAAGTGTGGTGTAATTATTTTTTTGTTGTTAAAACATTTTTAAAGACAAAAACACAACTAAAAACTCTGAAATTTGTATTGTTTTGATTTAATAGCAAATATTACATCACAGGAAATCAATGACCTTAAAAGATTCTAAAATGTTTCTTAAACCAAATAGTTCACAATTATATAAAAAAAATTTCTAAATACTCATGATGAATTGAATACTTCTGTATACTTTCAAATAACTTGATTTTATATCAGATTTAAACATTTAAATATCTCACACAATGATATGTAATAAACATTTTATTCGTGTGTAAATATTTATATTTTGCTACTTATTTTACAACATATTTATCAGTTCACGTTGCTAGAACTAACAACAATGATTTTATATAATTCAGATTGTTAATATCATTTTTACAATTGTAGCTAATTCGGTGCTTTTTATAATACAAATTGAAACGTGTATCAACAATTTTCTATTGTAGTAGACTTGGAGATTATAAATGTTGTATTCTCTATGTCTTAAAATATCTGCCTTTATTTGAAATTAATTTCTGATTTAGTAAAATAAAACGATTAACATTGGAATGTGACTATTAACAAAATAGAAGTATTCCATTCAATATACTTCAAATAAGTTTCGTTAATGTAACCTGTGGGATATATTAAGGAAGTATAGTTTTGTAATAGATTTTACTTAAAGCAATAGGATCAGCAATAATTAACACCATCAGTTTGACCATTTGGGAGAATCGAGCTTATAAAATAGTAAGATTGTTCTAATTGATGCACTCATAAATCACAATATTTTTGTTAAATTGAAAATATAATACTTACTGTATGTAAGACAGTAATATGTTAAAAGTAAAATAACTAATCCAATTTAAATAACACTAATTTGGCATAAAAGTTAGGTTATGCTATAACATCAGTGAAAGAAAAATAACATGATGCTTTGATAACTAAAATATTAAAATAAATATTGTTCTCAGATTGTTTCAATGGGGTGGTGCTTTTTGTATTAAATAAGCAGTGATTTAAATCAGGTAAGCTTATCTACAATGAAATTTAATTAGCTACGAGTTAAAGGAAATTGCGGTTACTATCTGATGTTGAAAATTTTAAATTATGTATCATTTTTAAAACAAAAGGAAATTTAAATAAGCATTGATTAGTCTGAAAATTTTAAATGTAAATTTGTATCAACTGCTAAATTCTTATTATAATGTGGTAAATTTTATATACTTTGAAAATATGTATTTAGGCCAAAATATGAATGAAACAAATGTTGGTCCCATTACGCCTCTTATGATCAATAAAAATCATATAGTAAAAGAAGGATGGCTCTACAAAAGAGGAGAACACATAAAAAATTGGAGACCTAGGTAAGTCTTTGCTTTAACATTTTTTTTACCACGTAACAACATTCAATTTTTAGATATTTTGTACTACTCGATAATGGTGCCCTAATAGGATTTAAAAACAAACCCGATGATTATTCAAATGTGGAGCCTTTAAACAATTTTACCGTTAAAGCCTGCCAAATTATGTCCACAGACAGACCTAAGCCTTATACTTTCATTATAAGAGGCCTCCAGTGGACCACTGTTATCGAAAGAATGTTTCATGTTGAACTAGAACAAGAAAGGTAAGTTTTTTTTTACTTTTATAGCAGTTAAATCTGCTGATGGAATTTTTTTTGTTATAATTTTGTTTTTTTGATATAAAGTATGTTTCAGAATGATTAACCGCTTAAAATTTTTAAACACATTTAAAATAGTGTATTTATATGCACACTATATGTATTTTAACTTGACATCTATATGTAGGACCAATTTTAACTGTTTATTAGATATTGTGGGTGTAATTCGATGCTAGTCAGGGGTGTATAACTCATGGAGTAGTTGTTTTCCACAACAATATCATTAGTTAAAAAATGACAAAAGCAAATATAAAAATACAGGTTTGTAAGCAATGAAAATTTAGTGAATTTCTAATTTAGCCAAACTTACCTTAGTCCAAAAGGTGATATTAAGAAAGACAAAAGTGTTCTTATATCATAGTCTGGATCGTACTGTACTAAATCAGTAGGTATCAGTTTGAAGTCAATAGAATACTAAAATATTTAAATTACTTTAAAAATGCTTAAATTTAACTTCATTTCAATAGTATATCTTTTTTTATTCCAGATTATGTATTTGTATATTAATTTCTTAGCAGAAATAATGACAGTCGGATAATTTTATTTTATCGGTGACTTTACCTCTTTCCTTTTTATTCTAGAGAAGAGTGGGTGGCAGCTATTAAAATGGTATCAGAGAAATTGAGTGAGTGTGAAGATGTGGAAATGAATCCCGCGAATCAAGAAACAGGAACGATGGAAGATTTATGTGAAAAATTCTCATTACAGGGGACGTCTATATCTAAGTCCACTGGTAAAAGAAAAGTGACTTTGGAAAGTTTTGAATTTATCAAAGTGTTGGGTAAAGGAACCTTCGGAAAAGTGATTCTGTGTAGAGAAAAAGCTACAGGCAGATTGTTTGCAATAAAGATTCTGAAAAAGGAAGTTATCATCCAGAAAGATGAAGTTGCTCACACACAAACAGAAAACCGCGTTTTAAGAAGTACTCATCATCCATTCTTAACGGTAAATTTATTTTAATTTAAAGAATTTAAAGGTGTCGTTTTACGGAGCTTTACAGTTATTAAATTAGTTAAAAATTGTACATATTTTTTGTAACGTAATTAATTTTTAAATTTTCATATATTAAAATAATCAATTTTTCTCCTAAACAAACAAAAACTATTTGAAAAAAACTAATTTTTATTTTGAAATGATAAAAATGCTTGAAAATATCTGAAAATATTTACAAATGTATGTGCTACCCGCTTCCAGGTCTTAGGATCGAAAATCTCTAATTCGATTTTTTATTTTGTAAATTCCTTTCGAAATTTTTTCATTTTAAAATTCGGATCTCATATTTTCTTACAAAATTTGACCATCGGCCACCACTGTTATAAATTTTGTGTTTGTGTTCCAGTCATTGAAATATTCCTTCCAAACCAATGACAGGCTATGTTTCGTGATGGAATACGTGAATGGCGGGGAACTATTCTTTCACCTGTCTCGAGAACGGGTCTTCTCGGAAGACAGAACTAGGTTTTATGGTGCCGAAATTATATCCGCTCTTGCCTACCTTCATTCACAGGGAATTATTTATAGAGATCTAAAATTAGAGAACCTGTTACTGGACAGGGATGGGCACATAAAAATTGCCGATTTCGGTCTGTGTAAGGAGGATATTACTTACGGCCGTACTACGAAAACATTCTGCGGAACCCCAGAATATCTGGCACCTGAGGTGCTGGACGATAATGATTACGGACGTGCTGTCGATTGGTGGGGTACTGGGGTCGTCATGTATGAAATGGTAAGATTCTTTCTTTATTCATGTCGTCAAAAGTGGACTTCAATTTTGAAGATGATTTTTTCGCAAACGGCTAATCTGATTTTGAGTTTTTAATTTTGAAGTACACATTTGAGAAAAATATGAGTGAACATTTTGAAAACTGAACTTTCAATAAAAATTTCTTATTAGCCTTGTATTGAGGAATAATAGTAATAATTAAAAAAAGCGTCAAAATCAGATTACGCATTTGAGAGAATATCAACTTTGAAATCGGGACTGTTTTTAATGGTGTTAATTTTTTATGCAGTGTACATAAAAAAAATTGTATTTACTATTTTTTTTTAATGTACAGATGTGTGGAAGACTACCTTTTTACAATAGAGATCACGATGTACTCTTCACGTTGATTTTAATGGAAGAAGTAAAATTTCCTAGAAATTTAAGCTCAGAAGCTAAAGATTTGTTGGCGGGTTTATTAATCAAAGATCCCACGAAAAGATTGGGTGGCGGCCCTGAAGACGCAAAGCAGATCATGGCACATCCATTCTTCAGCAGTATCAACTGGAGAGATTTAGAACAGAAAAAGGTTAATAGATACTTCATTAGTAATTTTGAGACATTTTTTTTTCTGCCTACAATAGGGTCGTTTCTAATTTTTTATGTGGATACATCGATAAAGTATAACTACTAATTTTTTTTAAGTATTTTCTTCGCGCACACATGACACGAACAAGAAAAACCATGAAAGACCCGATGATGTATATACTATCTGATGTAATTGTTTCAAAATTACGAAATATTTAAAAAAAATTGGTCTATTTTAGTAAAAAACATTCGTACATTTATTTATTTACTGCAACACTAATTATTTCTTTAGATTCCCCCTCCGTTTAAACCCCAAGTCACGAGCGACATAGACACGCGATATTTTGATTCTGAATTTACTGGGGAAAGTGTAGAATTGACACCTCCGGACAATACGAGGCCGTTAGGATCCATTCAAGAGGAGCCTTACTTCCCGCAGTTCAGTTTTCAGGATCTATCTTCGACTCTTGGAAATTCGGCATATATCGGTGGAAGCATGACGAGTGTCGCTCCTATGCAATGAGGTCTTACTAACTAGGTGAGTAAAATTAAAAAGAAATTATTTTAAAAATACAAGTACAAGCATGTCAGGGAATATAATTATGCAATTGGCTATTTGTATATTAATAGTTGTGACATCACAAAAATATTTTTTACATTTTTCTACATTGAAAATAGACAAAAAACTATTGAAAAAAATATGTATTTGATCTATCTAATAGACTTCTAAAATTTTAATCTGTTACATACACAACGTGACAACAGCGCTTAACTTAACGCTACACAGCTGGTGCATACCACGTCTACACGAGACAGACTTGTCCTATGGAACAAATGTAAACAATTATTATTGTGAAACATTTAGTAAATTTCAAGACAATTGTTTTCCAGTTTTTAAATAAATAAAATAAAATGTATCTATTTTGTAGTACGAAGATAGTGTTGTGCTTAAATTTTATCTCGAATTTTCGTAATTATGAATCTCTTAAAACAGAAGTGAAAGATTCACGTCGTCCAAATAATCATACGTATTAAAAATAATTTAGGTACTTACCAAAAAGCAAAATTCAGTAATGTTTAAACACACAAATACAAAACAAACTACAACATATGTTCAGAATGTTCCACCATTTTCGATGCACTCACGACACCTTCGAATCCAATTTTCGCGCACTCGCAGGAAACTACTTCAAGATAAGGAAATAGTGGTACGCAAAAATCATTCAGACACGGTCCAATTCCAGATACCAACTGAATTGTGTATTGCTTGACAGCTTAGTACCTCGTGTTATCCGCCGCGCCGTTGTCACATTGCTCGATATGAATTTTATTGAATTTTAAATTTATTACGCTAGTTATTTTTTAGAATTGAACATAAATAAGTTCGAGAAAGTGATAAACATTGTATTTTATGGTATTCTATGCACGCAGTTGGAGATTTTGATAATTTTTTTCTCGGAAATGGTTGAGTTTAGGACCCTTGTATAAGGTTTTTTTTGTTTATTTTAATGTATTCTGTCGTCTGTTAAAATTAAGGCAGTCAAACTTCTAACACCCTGTATTTAACCATTTTACTTTTATTTTCAGGATTGCTGGTACTTACATAATTAAAAAAAATGGAGAAAGAAGGGGTGTGTTTGTTATCATTTTTGTGATAATCTATCTTTTATACATAATGTAAATAGTAGGAATTTTCAGTTTTAGCGAATGTTTTATTGAACATTGTATATATTGTGGAACGAATAAATGCCAATATTAATGAATTATATTTCTATTGTAACTGGTATTTATCTGTATATTTCATTTTGGCCTGTTACAAGTTGTCAATTTAAGATTTGTATTTTATGTTGATCTGAAAAATTTAATTCCTTTATGTTTTAATTATGAAATCCATTGAGAAAAATAGAAAGAATAAAATAACAAAGGTGAAAAATTTAGTATTAAAATTATAATAAACATTTAAAAAAACATTTGAGAAATGCAAGGTGTTCCAATATTCCACCAACAAAATTCTACAGTCCACTAAAAATAAGAAAAAGAGGTCCACAAATGCTTAATTTTTAAGGTAAAGTGTGATAATTATATTATTTTTAAGGTAATCTATAATTTTATGTACAGTTGTGGACAATAAAAAGTTTTCAAATCAAGCGGTCACCCCTTTAAGTGTTACAATTTGGTAAACTATTTTTGTCCATAATTAAATTCAATATTTTGATCGGAATAATTTACAAAATTCCTGTTCAAAATAATACAAGAAGGACCTTTTTTAAGCATGATCCTTCTAATCCCTCAAAATTTTTTTCATGTTGAATTTTCTTGCATTATATTCAGTCAAAATGTCTTACACGTAAAACTTAACATTGTTTCAAGTTGGTGACTGGGAAACAAACTAAAATTGATAAAAGTAACTAAAAATAAATAATAAAACTTTGTGACCGTATATCTTAAAAAAGATCTATATTCATATGAACTTTTTCTTATTTTTGGTCATAATTATCTGTGTCAGTGGAATATTTTATATCTTGTACATATATTCATTAAGAAGAATTGTAATGTAAGAGGATAATTTCTTAACTTTTTACTTAAACTGGTAGAAGTAAAGAAATTTTAAAGGTACGAAATTCATGAGAAAAATACCAGTTGTAATTGTTCATCATTTTTGAAAATACTAAACACTAATAATGCATCAAATTTTCATTTATAATTAAAAAAGAAAACGATTATATATATTTGTAATGAGACATAATGTGTTTTAATTAATGTATAGTGTGACTTTCATTCATGAAATTTTTCCTCTTATTGCAGTGATACAACTGTTGCAACAGTAATTATAATTATTATTTAATTCCAAGTTTTTTGTTTTATTTATGTATCCACAAACATTGAAACCCAATTGAAATATTTATAGAGGTCCTTGAGTAAAACTATAATTTTTTTTGTGCTATACATCTCCAAATACAAAAGTTAATAATCGTAGCAAAATTCACAACTTATAAATTTGGATTTTAAGTTGAAATAAGTCGAGTAATAATATTTACGAAATTCGAGAAATTCAGGGTGTTTTTTAAATTGATGTTTCTTTTCTTTATAACATTTTCGCCTAGGGTTGAAAATAAAGGTACTTTATTCTTGGAGCGATTTGCAGTTTTCGCCTGCCCCTCGTATATAACAAATGTTTTATGACGTTCGATGGGCGCTATTTTGATTAGACGACATGCAGAGACAACTGACAATAGAAAGAATTTATTAAATTTATAAATAAAGTTTTTTCCCATATGGTGCAAACTTTTTGGATAGCACTGTATAAACCAAACAGAAAATGTAATCTGAAGCAAAAAGTTGAGTTATTTAAAAAAAGTGTAGCATTTTATCATTCTTTTTGTCAAAAAATAGTTGACCACCGACTGTCTGTTATCTGCACCAATTCGTTTATCAACAAGGGTCATAGGTTATACACTACGTAACAATTTAGGGGTTCTAATAATAGGTTGATTATTGTCGACATGGTATATGGACACCTAATCTATTGATTAACACATGCCTGGTGATTAGTGTGGAAATGAATTATTCAATAATTTTAATGCAATAATAAATGCAACAAGTTCCAGTTTTTTACTGTTGGTTCATAGAATGGAGCATGTGTTATGTTGTTTAAGGACACAATCAATATATCTGACTTCAGTCTGTGGTAAATAGTGCCCCAGGATAGATAATCCTGTTGCTATGGACATCGACGTCGAAAAATTAATCAGCGAGGTTTTATTCGATACCTCTTACACAGAATATGACAAAAATATTAAAAATGCATATGAAGTATAAGTTGGATTAATGTTGTACATTGGCTGATTTTCAATAAAATATCAGTCATACGTTCCTGGTGACCTAAAATATTAAAAAAAAAGTCGACTGCCGACTGTGTTGTGTACGCTCTTACTTATTTTCAGCCTCTAGTATAGTCTTTCCGAAGTCAGTTGAACATGTAAAAAACGCCTAGTAATAAAATTTACTCGTAGGCGTCCCTAAAAAAGTGTTCTGCCAACAATAAAGGCAAAAAATTATAATTTGTATATAATGTGAGAAAATTTGTATGTTTATTTGGCCAACAACATACTTTAATTATTTATGTCCTCAAACAATTTTATTATATTGATGGTAAATTTCGTTTTCTTCCGTTTCAAAAGGTCTTCAAAATGCCATGTTGTAATAATATTATTTCTCCCTTTTGCAATTGTAATATCAATGATTAATAGAAGATACCTATAATAAACTAAAATTATCTGAATCACACCAAATTCCGCATTGCTGCACTGCACTGCTGGGCAATTTGTCAACAGCCGAGATTTACTGCCCAGTGGCCCAATGCAGCTGTGTTTGTATTTCGTTTGCCCACACTTGCATTCTTCAAGTCTTGCACTCTTCAATACATTTCTACCACTTCCACGTTTAGTTCGACCAAACCTGTATATGGGTATGGTTAAATAAATATGGGAACAAGTTCAATGTTGAGTTGCTGTATCAGCAATCAAACCTGGTACATACTGTTAATATCTTGGTTCTTCAATTGATATCGTAAAGACTATACTTATTTTTATTAGGCATTTGTAAAATTTTCCTTTTTGAAAAATTTGTTGCTTAGACATTTCTATCCCCCCGTTTAAGTAAACTGTCTTTCAAACACTTGCTTATTTACTTGTATAAATATACAGGGTGTTAGACTTATTTTTATTTGTAAGCCACTTTGCAGAGTGAAATGCATAGAATGGTAACAGATACCAAAAAATTATGCTCCAACAGACCTTAAATTAATTTTTCCAAATATCTGAAAAATTATGTGGTTATATACGTTATTCATCAAATTAATATAAACAATTTCAAATTGAAAGTTTAATAATCCTAAAGAAACAATATGGTTATTTTTAATGCATTACAATATTCTTATTTTGTATAAACATATACAAATGTAAATGAAAACAAAAAAAAAATATTCAAAAAGATTGGGCAGCCATGTCATCGGCACAAATTCCTAAAAGGGCCAAGTCATCATCGGGAGGTAATGGGGGTGGCTGCAAAGGCATGGTATGAGAATGCGGTACGGAACTCTCATTTTGTGGGTATTCGTAGTTATGCGAATACATCATACTGTTATTATAGTCCGTGTAATAGTGACCCATCATGCTGGGATTCATCCCATTTCCGGTTTCAGCATACAGCATTTCGTCATCGCTTAAGTTCACAGCTTCCGCTTTACTGTGTTCCACTTCCTTTTTGGCGATTTTAGGCGGGGGAGGTGCTTTAGGTAGGCTTTCTTTGCTTATTTTAGGAGGTTCTGGTACCATTACAACAGGCTCTGATACGGTCGGAGGTGGCGGGATAGTCAGAGGAGGAATGCTAGATAATTTGGGAAAGCAAACCACGTCCGGCTTTGGGATGAAAGCTCTTGCGAGATTCCCTGGTTGGAATCTGGTACGCCTTGGCACCTCATAACTCTCCTTCTGTATTTCTTTTTTCTCCTCCTTTTCTTCCATCTTTTTGTTTTTAAATAACGGCATCCTTCCTATAAACGGAAGCTTTTTATAACTTGGAGGACCCGGTGGTTTCTTCTTGTTTGTGCTGTCTTCGGATCTTCTTTCTGGTGGCGATCTAGTTCTACTCTTTGAGCGTTCGCGAGGCCTTTCTGACCTACTTTCATGTTCGTGAGACCTCTCCGATCTATTTTCACGTTCATAGGATCTTTCGGTTCGGTTTTCACGTTCGTGCGATCTCTCCAACCTACTTTCATGTTCATGAGATCTTTCGTTTCTATATCTGAAAAATTATAATTATTAGAATTATAACAGTAAATATAATAAATAAAAAGTGTAGTAGAACTTTAAATTGTATGAGAAAGTTAATGAATACATAGAAACTTTACCTCTCACGTTTATATTTCTCGTGATGTGGACTCTCCTCTTCATCGCTTCTCGAAGGTGTGCGCCTTTTCCTATAATTTGTTTTAAATCTAACTTGATTCCTATCTTTATTCCTGATACGTTCAAGTTCCTCCTGTTCCTTCCTTTTCCTTTCCCTCTCTGTTTCTTCCTCGGCCTCTCTTGCTGCCCTTTCTTGCCTTTCCAATATTTCTTTCTCTTCCCTTTCTTTCTCTCTCTTTTTCTTCTCTAACTCGATTTGTTTAGCTTTTTCCAACTCTTGTTTCTGTTTCATTCGATCCTTCAAATCTTCTAAAAGGCGTTTGTCTTTTTCTTGGGGTTGAGACACTGTCATCCACTGATTAATGAGTGGGTCCTCGAGCTCTTTAATTTTCTCCTTTTCTTTTTTCTCCTCCTTCTTCTTGTGCTCTTCCACTAGTCGCTCCAATACGTTCCATTTACTCGACAAATCTTCATCCATTATCGACTGTACCTGTTTCATGTTACGCATGGCTACCCTTATGCTCCTAGATCTGTCGGCTTTCTCATCGTCGTCGGAACTACTGTCAGATGAACTGGAACTACTGCTGGAGTCTGTTACTTGTTTCTTACGCTTCTTGGAGCGTTTCTTTTTTTTCTTTTCTTTAATTGCAAATAAGTCGCTGAGACGTTTCTCCTTATGCTTCTTCTTTTTCTTATTGCTATCCGAGTCCGATGAGTCTTGAACGCCGTTCCTAGCCATCGCTCTTTCTCTGTCTTTTAGCCACTCCATTTCCCAGTGTGGATTTTGCACAACAAAATTCTGAAATACAGAACGAACCAGTATTGACATCAAAATGAAAAGCGAATTGATTTAAAAAATATAACAAAACTGTCGGGTTTCCGTAGGGTGTGGCGTAAATTAATTATTAGTGCCCCTACAAATTGTTACCAGACAATTTTGCATATCGGATATACGCAACTTTACACAAAAATGCAAATGTCACTTACCTCGTAATTCTGATAGTGTGTTTTAGATTTTAAATGGTGCGACGCACAGTGTAAATCCCCAATCCATACATCGCACAATTTACAGTACCAAGATGGGGCAGATATAAAAAACTGCAAACCTATAAATGGAGATTACATAATAAAAATATGTGAAATTTCAGAGACGGATGACATTTTTTTTTATCTTTAATTGGAGTAGCTAAGTTTGTTAAAATTCTGATACATAAAATTACTACTATTTATCAATTTATCTATTTACAATTATTATGAAACAATACAATCACGCTAATATGACCAGTGTATGCCGCAAACTTACCTTTAATAGGAATTCTTTTCTTTGGCGCATTTTCATCCGATGGTAAAATGGGCTCAAGTGGCAATTTGTGCCATGGTGTATTGTCCACATCGTTCTCCTTAGCCATTGTCCGGTGTTTCTTGTCTTGAAGGTGCAAAAGGAAATCCTTTGCCGTTTCCGGAAATTCGTCGCATAACCAACACCAGTGTAAGCCTGTATCGTAATGTACATAGCAATATTTTTCTATTGCCGACTTATTTGACTCGGGAGATTGACATTTTGTTTTGTCCTCCGCATCTTGAAAGTTTGATTGGGTCGCTGGTGAATTAGGAATATTGTGGCTTCCTAGAGACGCTTCTAGGTCAGACAGGGTACATCCATCTTTTATAATACTGGACAACATCTCTATCACATTGTGGATAGCTTTCATTTTACCCTGAATTTCATCCTGAAAAGAAATATGGATTTAAAAATTTGATCCGCTTGTATATATTATACGAATGTACTCAATACATACTGGCACCTCCCCTTCCTCTGCTTTAAATTAATATTACAATGGAAAATATATGAAAATTTCATGGAAATATCGGACCTGATGCTATGCTGGACTTTCAAGCCAAAACTGCGAAACAAAACAATGCTACCAACTGGAATATTCAAACTTACCCTATTTTCATTTGTCGCTTTTAAGAAAAGTGCACCGAGACATTTACCTGTAATTTATCGTTTTCCCTCAAAATGTTTGCCAAATCACGATCCGTAGAGCCATCTGCTACAAGTTCCTGCTTTTGTAAACGAAGTTGCTCCAGTTCGTGTCGCAAAACTGTCACTTTTTTTACGTAATCTTCACGCTGTTTAACAAGCTGCGCCTTTTGTTGTTGCATTTCTTGTGCCACAGCTACAATAAACATATTATTAGTGAATATAGCAAAAGCAAACTCCAAGAATATATACAAATACAAATAATTCTGTATAATCATTTTAACTGCCCTTGATGTTACTGATTTTTACCACTCCAATAGATATTATTGGTGTTAAGATCCTCCTACGAAAAAATTATATTAATTTGTGATTCAATGCTGCATATTATAACATGTAACTTCAAAAAGTACTTATGCACGTCGAAATGGCACATGAAAGATTTAGAGCTTTGAGCAACATGTTCATATCTTCGCGTGAACTTTTCTTCCATCTAAAAGGGTTGCAGAAAAAATAGTCGAAAAGCTTAACAAAGATATTGGCAATGCAGCTTTCAGCTCAAAAATCTTACAATTATAGTGACCGATGGCCATGTAGGTTTGACGAAATTAACTTATTTTTTTGATTAATTCACAAAAAAGAACTGAAGATTAGAATATCTATAAATACAGATATCCTTATTTTGATGGAACAGAAGTTTATAACACTGCTGAAATATAAAATATATACAGATTCGTAACAATTGAGTGTCCAAAGTCTGAAGACGGATTTTTAACCATAGCAGCAAAGCTTTTTCTGTGTATTTCAATATGTCTCGAGCACATAACAAACTTAAAATCTAATTGTATAAAAAATGACAATTGAAAAAGATCTAAAAATAGTTAAAAGTGGTTTTCCATTGTATTTAAAAAAACTTACAAGTATGTTAATTCCCAATTTAAATAAATATTCTATTTATGTTTTCAATGCATTTAAATGTGATTTTTTTTAAAACATAATAATTGACAAAAAGAAATATTTTAATAAGCACGCACTATAAATGAATGATTAGATGAAAAAGGAAATACACGGGATGTAGTTCTGAATTAAAGCAACCAATAGATTTATTTGACATTTAAAAAGTGGGTTCTTGTTTAGAAAACATACAATAGATGGTATAACTTATTCTATACTTTTTAATTTAAATAAAATAATTTCTTCTATTTAAACTGAAACAATTCTTGTGAACAATAATAATTTAATTATGTACTAGTTTTAACGTCTGCTAGCCTGTATAATATAAAATTGTCAGGAAAACCTTTTGCCGTTAGCCTTTAAGAAGTACTGTTCTATAATTTCTATTACTGACCAGACAAATTGTTCCTGAAATTAAAACAAAAATTAATTTCTGACCTTGCTTTACGAAGAATAGTAATAATTTGTTTTTAAATTTTATTCATTGCGTTACATTGTTTACCAACATGCATTACTGCCTGTACTCACCATCATTCTGTGAAGTTCCATAACTACCAGCTTGCGATGAACTCCAATTATCTGAAGAAAAATTTTCTCCAGGTGGTGCTGGCTGTGGATTCTATAAAAAATTTAAAATGAATGTCGAAAACAACTCAATTTTGAATATTCTGGATATGATTTCTATTTTTATATTCCTCTTATATGTATTATGATGCTCCACCTTAGGTTTTTGTCCGTTTTTCGGATATTTACATGTATTACAGTTAGATACAGAAAATCTAAGTTTCATTTCATATTTCTTTTAAACTCGACATGTCATACGTTAAAAATGTGGATAAAATGTTTGCCCCCTTCGTTAATCTTATATATACCTAGTTTTTCATATGTAATAAAAATTTTATACACATAATACAAAAATTTACCTGAGCTGTGTATTGGGTTCCATAACCTGTATATCCATAAGAACTGCCATAATTCTGCTGATACTGTGGATAAGCACTTTGGTACCCAGTAGGATAGTGTGTAGACTGAAGCAAGAAACATGCACAATCATTAGCTAGACAATATATTTTTTATACAGTTTTTTTATATTTAATTTTTTAACAAATCAATCCATAAAAAGTGTAAGGGGCTAAAAAAATTATCTTTGCAAATATTGGTAAATGTTTGGCCTCATTAATATACAAATTATTTGTATATGACATATTTCGTCAAACCGCAATTTTTTTTACTGATTATTTTTGTTAATTTATGAAAGCTGAATTATTTGTCTTGATAATATTAGTTAAATGTAATACTTACGTTGTTATACATATTACAACATTAACACCAATGTATTGCAAAAAATCTTGATCCTGACTGTTTTAGAATCTTATGTGCATTATTTTGTAGACACAAGATTACTTTTCAATAACCACTGAAATATAACAAGAATAATAAAATATATATAAAACTATTAATAACACGTATCGTACCTAAGTATTAAATAAATTATTTAATGAAATTTGAACAAAGCGCCATAAGGAGAGACGCTAATGTCAAAATTACAGTAAAAATAAGATAGTTGTTAATATCGTTAAGACGGAGTATTGTTATTCCAAAATTATACACAATTAATAACTCACGTTTTCCCCACTTTTTATTCTAATATTAAATAAATCTTGTAATAAAATCACTTTTTTTTATAAAACGGAAAGCATCACACACATACACCTCCTCCACCATTTATTTACTAAAACAGGCTTGCCATCTTGCCACTATTAACAATCTTTTTCCCTAAATAGAAGGAACATTCGATTGGTTATAATGACTAATGCGTATACCGATTTCCAATAATTTGTTTGTAAAAGTTCTAAAACAGAAAATTTAGGGAACTATGCATTTTTAATTAAAATTGTTACACAGGAAAATTCACATGAAATAGAATAGTGGTATAGATGCATCAGTACAATTATCTCTCATTTTAAAATGAAATATATTAAATTATACTTATTTATAACTCCTATGTATACAATGGAGAATACAGTGGTAAGTAACAGGTTTTACAGATTTACTCTAGAGCTGCAATAAAATTTAGTTATTTTCATTTTAATATATCGGTTTTCAAATTTCATATCATTTATAGTTTATAGGTACCCTGTATAAATACATTTTATTTTTTATAGGCGCACTACCTATAGGCACGGGGTCTTCTTAAACTATCTAATTAATTAAATTAATTAATTTCTAGATTTGGAGTTATAAAATTTCTGTTTATAACCTTTTTGCTCAAATGTTCAAAAACCGAGACCTGCGCCTTTCTCTCGTAATCGATAATTTAGTCTTACCCAGTAACGCCATTACCCCTTTCAAAAGAATTTTAGTGGTTTTGATTTATATCTCAAAATATACAGTTAAATATACCATCATTTATGGAATTTTTCGTTATGGGACATATAAAGTAAGTCATCACCTTTAAATTTCCGCAAGATGTGTCTTGCTTTTTATTGTTTATAGGTATATACATTTTTTTTAATGTTTGCTTTTATTAAAATGAAATGTTAACAAATTATTAATAAAATAATGATATCTCGCCAATTTACTCATCTACAAAAAATACCTATACTTTCATGTTGAAGTGAATGGTATATTATATCTAACATAAAAATATTTATGCTGGACTATATGGATATTTGAAATTTAATTAGGACGCTCTAGTTAGTTATTAAAATATCAGGATTTTAAATTCATTTTAAATTGTATAATTTAATTTGCGTTGTTGATACTGTTGATATTCATGTACATAGGTATGGACTTTATAGACACCTTCTAATTGTTGTTACAAAAAGCGTAAAGAAAATAGAAGCAAATGTATATTTTATCTGTGTATAGAGAAAAAATCGCTAAAATGTATCATTTCAGAGAAATATGAATTTCAATTTTTTTACTGTAGTCGTCAGTATTCTAGACTCTTTAAACTTTACTTTTTTTAAATTAATAATAAAATTACTGGGATATAATCAATTTTTCGATATACAGGGTGATCAATGTAGCGGTTCCAAATCACATTCTTACATTATGTATCTTTAAAAATAAACAAGATGTATTCGAAACTTGGAACTTGGACCACAGTATTCTTATGAAAAGATTAACTACTAGGGTAAATTTTAGAACTCTACGTCAATCCAGAGGCATAAAATATAATTGTATTTCTCTTCTACTTTTTCTGAATCACTGATTCAGTTGCTCTTTGTACTCTTGTCAAAATCTCGGATCTCTTACCTTTTCTGATATTTTTTAAGAAAACAAAACTGTGCGTAACTTGATCAAAATCGGTTTATTACCTAAGGAAGTCGACCTCGAAGTACGGTCCATTCGCTTCTGGACACTCTGTATAAAAAATTAAATCTTACTCATATTATGATTTTATAAAATTGTTCTAATTGATGTCCTTGTGCCTTCTCGATACACCTCCGCATTTTTAATATCTTCATTTATTCAAGGGATATTTAGAGAAAAACCATTTTTTAAACAAAAAACTTCAGTACTCTGTATTTCAAGCGCAAGGGAAGTACACTCACCTTGTATAAAATTCTTAATTTACTCTTTCTGGCCTATTAAGTATGTACAAATACGTATACCAAATTTTTTAGTCAAGTCTTTTTTGTCAGTGGTGTAGAAATAGGGGAGTATACTGTTATTTAAGTAGAGAAAAAGTAGCACGCCGCTGTAGTTAATAGAATCTATTACGATTGTTTAAATACTCTACTAATTTATTACTAAAACATGCCTTAAGCAATTATCGTATCGTTGTTCGTTTTCGAGATATCGTCACTAAAAATATGGAGCA